GACTGGTACTCATTTTGCTGCTCATCCTCAAGCGCATCATCCTCCTCAGCTGCTTACTTCAGCTTGAAGCCCGCAGAGCACGGTGTCATCATAGTGCAGCCCCCAGTCACACTATACCGCTCCATGACACTAGAGATGTAGTGTGACTGATGCATCTTGAGCCCCCTCCTCTCAACATCCCTCTCAATCTGCAGCCCCAAGTGGTAGTGGATATCCCCCAGCATCTTGCAATTGAAGTTGTACATTAGCAGCTTCTATGTCCTCTTAATCTGCTCCATGGAAGGTGAAAACTGCAGTATGTCGTCGACATACACCAGCAGCAAGAGCAGCTGCTCCCCCTCTTAAAGCAAAACAAGCTGTGATCCGCTTGGGACGTCTTGAAGCCTCTACTCAGTAGCAACTTCTCTAGCTTCATGTACCAGCACCTCGGCGCTTGCTTAAGGCTATAGATAGCCTTCTTGAGCGTGCACACCTGTTGGTCCTATCTTCAAAGCTGTCGGGCTACTCCATGTAGATATCCTTCAGCAGTATTCCATTGAGAATTGCAGTGGTGATATCCATCTGCTTCACGTGCCATCCCTTCACAGCGGCACCAGCCAGCACAGTCCTCAATGTCACTGGCCTAACAACGGGAGCAAAGATCTCCTTGAATTCAACCTTCTCTTTCTACTAAAACCCCTTGGCAACCAAGCGGTTCTTGAACCGCTTCAGCGCACCATCAGCTCCACTCTTCACCTTGAAGACCCACTTGCTGCTGATTGTCCATCGCCCCTCGGCTAACTCAACAAATTTCCAAGTCCCATTTTCATAGAGACAGTTGAACTCCGCATCCATGGCAGCTTTCCACTCCTTCTGGGGTCCACTTAGTGCCTCTTCCACTGTGGCTGGTTCTCCAAGAAATGGTGTGAAGAAATAGAAGGCCATCTCTTCATCCTCAAGCAGTCCCGTATTGATAGGGCTCAAAGGGGTACAGGCATGGCAGGTAGTGGCAACAAGGATGTATAATCATGAGAGTATATTTGAGGCTAAGTCGGCTATGCTAGCAAACGAGCAAAGCACCGTAGGTGGGCTACCCACACATACCAAACCATCCTGTCCACAAAACTCAGCCACACACTACCGCCGCTGCCAGAAACACCTTTGCCTCTGGAGATCACACAGTCATCCTGCCCTAGTCCTACCCCTCCAACCCTTGTCTTCCACCCCGTAGCACCCTACCCGCTTCCCAGCACACCCCTCCTCACCCCTGTCCCCTCTAGGCCGCTCTTGCTGGGGCGTGTTGCTCTTCGTACTCGTCTTCTAATGTCTGCCAGAGTTCACCCATCCAAGGGGCCCATGGGTCCGCGAAGGTCTGTGGGAATGCCGCTTTTGCCGCCCGGTTTGACTTCGAGAGGAGAGAGATGGCCTAGCTGCGTTGGAGCGTTACGGACCACCTCTGCCTGTAGTGAGCGTTGAGACGGGCTGCGGTGGTTGTGAGGCACCCCTGCCTGTATTTTGTCTTGGCGGCGTAGTTGGCCAGCGTGGGGATGAACTGCACAGTATCCCAAGCCATGGCCCCACATGTTTCCACCGCCAAACCGAAGAAGCCCGTGTAGCTTGGGCGACCCTCATAAAGCCTGTGTTTCCCCTCCGATGCTTCCTACGCTGCCTACCCCGGCGGTTTTCTAGCCCGCTTGTCCCGCTTCTGCAGGACCGGATCCGTGACTGTGACGTACGTCACCCAAGTTTCACCCGACTCTTGGTCCCGGATAGCCAGGTCTGTGCGCTTCTGGAGGACGGGAGGACAGAAAGCCGAGGTTTCATGAAAGGTCTTATAACCCGCCTCCTTAGCCATCCTAAGTGCTGCATAAACCAAGGCATTGTGGGTTCTTACTGTGTCTCCTCCGTCCCCGCACCGTAGGAGGTGGTTCGGGAGGCTCTTGTCGACGATGCACGAGTTCCCTTGCTTACAAGGGCAGACCTCGGCGACCGGCAGCTCCATGCCTAGGCGCAAGCCGAGGGCCATTGAGAATTGACCGGGAGAGATGCTAAGGTCGCCCCTCATTGGCACAGCATGGAGCCAGTCGCCTGCACTCACTCCCTTGAGGCTGATGAGGCGGATGGCATGGCCCCTGTCCTCACCCGGCCTGTCCTGAAGGGTGTCCGCTAACAGCTCGAGTGCCCTGCGCTCATTAACTATCTTGGAGAGCCTCAGCTGCAAGTTGCCGCTCCCAAGTTTCCCAGCACGATACTGTTGCTTGAGCCTCTGCGGGCAGGCCAGCTTCCATTTGGACTCAAGGGTTGATCTCTGGCGGTGGGGGAGCTGACTCATGAGAGAGGGGAGAGGTAGCGCTGGCAAGCAGGCAGTCTGGCGGCAGGTTCTGCTGTTGCAGTAGGATGTGAGCCGCCGTGACCAAAGCGAGGTACGCCACGGGCGCTTCAGAGACAGGGTCTAGCCACCCCAATTTTCAAAAGTCAAACTTGCCTTCCTAACCACCCAACCAAAGGTCCCTATATAGCCATGTCCCAATGATCGCCCAATTTAGTTAATATCCCAAATCAAGATAGAATTCCCAAATCTTGGAAATCTTGTAACTTGGGCGATCTTGGTCGGAATAAGGCGATCTTGGTATCGTTGGAAAGCTCTGCATTTCGAACCGTGACCTGCAAAACTGGGGTTGGTATCGTCCCCAGTTTTGCATGTGACACCTCAACGACCTCATTATTAGGGTTGCATCTTTGATGCTAGGAAGGTTCCCACAATCCTTCCCAAGCATTTGGAGAGCCTTCCCTCACAAGGTTCTCTTAAAACCCCCAACTCCTTATTCTATGGCTAATGTTTTGTTCTTCCTCCATCCTTTTTAATGAAAGCAGTAGCTATACGTTTTTAGTTGGTTCTCACTCCCTAGACCATGAAATCAAGTTAATGGTAGCTAAGACTGGCGCGCGCAATCCTACCAAGCGGATTTGCATTTAGTTGAGATTTGAGTTCGTCGTAAGTCTTCAAAGTGACCGGATCCTAAGCAACACCTAGTAGGTATGAAATCCGCCGAGAGATGCTGCAAGACACCATGAGGACTGCATGTGGGTTCAGTTGAGAGATGAGGAGGAGCGGCGACGCCGCCTCGCCCAGTGTGTTGCGAATGTGATCTGTGCAGAATGCACCCTCCCCAACCGGGCTGCCGAACACCTTTATCCCCCCCTGAACCGTAGACAGCCCTAGTGGAAGCCCCCCCTGTTCTGCCGCTGCACTCCTCCCCCAGGCAGATGACTTGGTGATGTTGCAGCGTAGGCCAGCTGCTGCCAAGGCTGCCGTGATGGTACTGAAGGCGAGGCAGGCGGCCTCCCGTGGGCCGACGATAGTGATGTCGTTGGCATAGGCGACGACTGCCACCTCAGGGAAGGTAGTGGCCACGCTCAGCAGCGCAGGCTAGATCGCCGCTGCAAACAACATAGGGCTGAGGGGGTCGCCCTGCCGCACTCCTCGTGAACTCGGAATGAAATCAACGCCGAGCCGGTCATCAACCAGAAGTTTTGACGAGCCGTCGTAGAGGTTTCGCGCCAGAGGGAGGAGGGGACTAAGGTTGGACCATTGGAGAGCTTCAAAAAAGGCTTTGCTCTCAACTCTGTTAAATGCATTTTCCACGTCCAGCTGTAGTACGATACGTGATTCGTCCTCCTAGAGTAGCGCGCGAACGGTATTTATGATGCACTTTTGGACCTAGGATTTGAAGGGCCGCTTTCGCTACGACACGGAGCAGGGCCTCTCCGATTGCAATAGGTCGGCCCGCGCCGTCTGGTTTTTCTAGCGCAATTAGGCGCGAAGGCAGTAGGATGTCGCGGAGCTCCTGGGTCTACACCGTGCTAAGTAATTGGTTAACGGCCTTAGTGAAAAGAATCATAATCTCCTCGTTGGCGAGTGCTGGATCTTGCAAGTGCTCAAAACATGTTCCGAAAGGTCCAACTCCTACCCCATTTGGGCACTTCGCCAAGATCTCCCTGAGTGTTTTGCTCGAAACGGCAAGCTCGTAGGACGTGCACCCTGTTACCCATGCCGGGATGTCTTCACCAGCCGGTGGATGTTTCGCCTAGAGTGCAGCGAGGGTTGCCGAGGGAGGTAGGTTTAGCCAGCGGTGTGGAGCGTAACGCGGATACCGCTTTTGAAATATTCCCCTTTTTCATTAAGGCTTCCGCGCATGCACTCAGCCCCTCGTCATCAAGCTGGTGCCTTGATGGGATTTCCGTATTGGGTATGGTGCCTGCTTTCTCGAAGAGGTCATCCCACTTTCTTTGCTGGAATTGATGCAATCGAGTTTCAATCTGTGCCCAGCGACTTCCGCTGACAGGCTCGGGAGCTGGTCGTAACGTCAGCCTCGGCAGGAATAGGAAAATCTTCCATGCACCTGGGCACATCGAAGATTTTTCCAAACCTAGCAGAGGCGCCAGTAAGCAGAAGCAGTAGGAGTCCAAGAATTGAGGAGGCAAACGGCTGACGAGGAACGGCTGGTCCACGCGCTGCAGCTGCTTCACCTCCCATCCCCCCGCCGCTTGCCAGATGGCATCGTCTTTGGCCAGGTCGGATGGCGATAGCACATCTGTCGCGTCAGGCTCCCAGCTGGAGCCTCCGTGGTGTGGTGTTTCTGGGTATTGCCCCCGGTCGCTCTCCCCCGTATGGTGGAAACGTTCCTATCCACGCCTGTTTCATCATCCAGAGGTACCTCCTCCGATTCCACTTCCTCCTCGCACATAAACTCGGGGTCAGCAGCAGCGTTGTCAGAGCCCCCATCATCCTCATTCGTCGCGGCTACCATTGTTTCTGGCCTGTCGTGGCGTTCCCTCCACGTGCCCACCCGATCAGGGATCTCAAATCCCCCAACCAGTGCCCTTCCGCCCCTCGCTCCGCGCCCTCCCCCTGTTCTACCACCCCGCTGTGCTCCTCCAGCCCCCGTTGATGCACCTGCCGCGCCGCTCTGCCCTCTTCCCGCCGGCAACCATGGTGTGCTGCCTCTGCGGGGCGGGCCCTAGGTTATCGCCGCCCGGCGTGTTGCGTAGCGGGTGTTGCGTGCCACACTGTCCGCAGTGAGGGGCGCCTCTACCGGAGCCATCGCCGCTGGCGCCGGGATAGCCGCGGGCGGCACAACGTCGTTTCCCACGAGATCGTCTTCTCCCCGGGCAGTCGCATCAATTTCCTGCCGGCTCTGCGATGCCGACCGGCCCCCTCGCTCTGGTTACGGTTGCCCTTGCCGAAGCCAGCCTAGGAGGGGTCCTGGGGCAGCAGGTCCCAGCCCTGATCCCAGCCGCCTCGGCGCTGGCTGGGCGCGAAACTTCTTCCCAGATTTCCTAGGGGCGGCAGAGGCAGGGCCGGCCCTGGAACGCACCGTCTGGCCGCGTGCCTGCCTGTCTCCGACCTTGTCACCAACAGTCCTTCCGGCGGACACAACGACACCCGCAGAATCCCTTGCGCTTGGCTCTCCAGTCCCTTGCCTCGCCGCGGCCGTCACCACCTCAGCAATCACAAACGCTGGTACCGGTGACGGCGACGCAGCCACCTCCGCCTCCTCCGTATGTACCTGCTCCCCAACCGCCTCCGCCTCCTCCACAGCGCGGCCCCCTTCTTCAGCCAAATGAGGGCCAGCCGGCCAGCTGGCAGAGGGCATGGTTAAGCCGGCGCCAGCGGCAGCGGCAGGCGCGGATGCAGGCTCCCCTTCCGTCGCAGCCCTCGCGGACGCCAACATTGGTGCCGCACCTTCAACACCAGCAGCCACGGCAGCATCCACCACCCGTTCGGTCCTCGCCTCCCTCTCCTGTGGGCCCGGACCCCCCTGCAGCTTCCGCACCTGAAGAGGCATCTAAGTCAAGTCCCCACCGTCGACACGATGGATTCCCATGGGAGGCATTATCACCAGCGGCGTTGGCGGCTCCTTCTCCTCAATCCCCGCAACACCGATGGAGCCTGTGGGAGGACGCTGCTTCACACAAGAGGTCTCGTCACGTCGAGCGGCGTGTGTCGAACGTGGGAACTTGTTTGACCCTACTGGCGCTGGTTCTGGACCAGCTGCACGCATGCCAGGTTTGGATGTCCCATCTGAGAGGAGGGCCTCCGGTACTGTCGTAACAGGAGCAGTCGGAGGCCGTGGCGGCTGCGACAGAGCTGCTGCGGATGTTGCCCTCGATTGGACTGGTGCCGGGCTCCTCCGAGTCTGCATTGGGGCCTGGCCCCGCCGCTCTGCAACAGCTTGTCATTGCTACTCTGCAGGCCCCCCACGACATTGTGCCGGCAGCCGCGCCCGTGCTACACTGAATGGATAAGCGCCTGACTTGGATACTGGTCGAGTAGCTGCACTCTTCCCTTTGCCCGCCTCCTTGATTCCCGGCCGGGCCTTGGGCTTCCCCATGGCGGCTTCTCCTCGCCTGAGGGTGTTTCTATTGGGGCGGGTAGGATCTAATCCATGTTGTACAACTCCTTGTTATTGATTTTGCCGTCCTTCTCTTCTTGCCACCCCTTACGCGCGGCCGAAGGCAACTTGCTTGGGTCCTCCCAATCGGCTTTACTTCAGCCTTGAAGGTGGCGCTGCCACTCTCTTCTCGCGGATTGCAGTCTTTTGCCCATATGGTGAAGCTCCTTTCTGCACACTCCTCTTGGTGACCTTGGCGGTTGCAGCAGGCTCGGCCTGACATGGTGAGTCCACACGTGCTGAATCATCCTCTAACCCCTCCTCTCTAGCAGGACCAGTAACTTGCTGCTCACCACCGCCACTATGGTCACTGGTCAGCTCTGACACATGGAGTTCATCAAGGTGGAGCTAAACCTCCTCCACTGCAGACTGCTCAATCTCACTTGTCAACATTGGTAGAGAATTCACAACGATTGGTCGTATCAAATTCGACTACTTGCTCTCATACCACTTGTTGTTCAGGATCCGCCACTTTGAGTACTTTTGACGAACTCTTTACTCAACTAAACACAAATCCGTTAGGTAGGATTATGCGCCATAGGCATAGCTACCATCTCCAATTCGAATCACATGGAAAGATGGTCTAGAAAATAAGAACCAAGTAAAAATGCCCAGCAGCTGCATGAATAGAATCGTGGAGAAATTAAAAGCATTGAGGCATAGAATGTAGGACTTGGGGACTCCAAGAGAACTATGAGAGGGAAGGGATTCTTTAAGAGCTAGGGAAAGACAGTAGGAACCTTCCTAACAGCAAGGATGCAACCCTCATTATGAGGTCCTTTAGGTGTCACATGCAAAATCCAATCTAGTTGGATTTTGCCTAGGTGTTGCAACATTTGCAACCCATGCTAGAATCTTCTAGCCACCCCAATCCAAAATTCAAAGTTGCTTTCCTAATTGCCCAACAAAAGATCCTCTTTATAGTCTTGTTCTAATAATCACCCAATGTGGCTGAAAATGAGACAGATTTTCCAAAACTTGGAAATCTTATAACTTGGGCGATCTTGTTCGGAATAAGGCCATTGTGATATAGTTTGAAAGCTCTGGATTTCTCCTGCATGATCAAGCATGTAGACTTGGAGAAAAACACAGAGATGATAAAAACCAACAGCCATGCATAATGACATATGCTCGTGCAAATAATGCAAGCACAAATAGCACGGGCACTCGGCAGGACGTTAGGATGACATGCACTAAATGAACAAGCACAACACCAGCTGCACGCACCTCCGAAGCAGGTGCACCATTGTTCTGCGGGTGCAACGCTTGTGTAGCCGAGTTGCTGCAGCGTTGGCACACTATCGACTTGCAACATTGGCAAGCCGCGACTTTTCTCTGCTAGAGCGCGGTTGACCAAATCGTGCTGGCACGCGGTCGACCATGCTGCGCTGGAAGTCGACCATCAGCTTGCTAATTCTGGTGTAGTCCTGCATGCCAATGTTGTTGCGATTAGTTCTAAACCATTGTTCTCAATCTTAGCTAATGAAACTCTTGCGGTTTTGCCCCGTAAATGCACAAGTGCTGGAAAACAAACAAGGAACGAACGCAAAGATTACTCTTGCCCCGTGCGTAGCTCAAAAAAGCTCCCGTTGAAAGAGTTATTTCCGAAGGTTGGACCCCCCAGAATCATCAACAGGATGGCGGCGCGCATAAGAACCACAAAAATGGCGCAAACATGGTTGCTAATTTGTTCGACAGCAACCCAAAAGGCAACGGTGGTGCTAAGAAGAAGAAGGGGCACGCCGCGGGCCAGTTCTTCCATGTCGGGGACAAAGGGGAGCAAGGAGACAGTTCTGCCAAAGTTGGAGCAGAGCTGCACCCCTAGATGTTTGGGTGTTGGGCACCGGCAACGCGTGGACGATAACGCCGCGCAAGGACCTGCTTGACAACCTACGCACTGCAGCAATCAACGAGAAGTGCTCTGACTGTGGACACGCGTTGAAGGTGGTTGGTGCGGAACGAGTTGCGTTTAAGGTATTGGTGCAACCTACGGTTTGCACGCGGCTTGTTGTTCGTATGCGTGCATTCGTGTGTGCATGGAGTGGTATGAGGGATGAGATAACATATCTTTAATGCTTATTAGAGTGTGTGAATGTTGAGTCATGATGTCAAATATATGTGTGTGTGTGTGTCTATTCAATAGCTAATCATTGCAAGTCGCGTGTCTACGTCATTGCCTGTGTGTCTCGCGCGGTTCTATTTTGTCGTTTGTGTGTGTCGCGCGGTTTCTATTTTATCGTATGTGCAACGTTCAGCATGTCGCAGGTGTGTGCAGCAAAACCATCAAGAACTCAAGGATGAGTTTGTGATGAAGAACCATAGCCTTGGTTTCAAGATTCAAGTGATCGCGGCGCCCGCTAAAAGGGTACACCTCAAGATATTGAAAACAGTTGCATTACTTTGTGTAGTGTAACATTTCACTTGGTGTAGGCCCTAGTGAAGGGTAGTTTCGAGACCCTTCGTGGTTGGGGATAGTGTTGCACTGTTCCACATCACTGTACCTCGGCTCTTGGGGATTGTAGGAGCTGGGAGTCATTCCCAACTCGTAGATCTTCCTAATTTGTGTTCTAAAACTATAGTGGCTGCCATAGTGCGGTTCATTCAAACCGGCGCAGTGTCAACAATACGTGGTAAAATTGTGTGATTTCAATTTCCTATTGTAGACGACGTTAAGACGGTCCATAGCCAAGTTGAATCAGGTCATTTAAAGCTGTGACCAGAACGCTACGACCGTTTAGAGCCGCTGTGCAGAAATCCGACTATGCACTTTATCTTTTGTTTTTTGGCACATTGGAGCCTACTGGGATTATAACAGCTGGTATCAGAGCGCCTTAGAGCAGCTATGACGATGGCTGGACCTGAAGAAAGGGGTGACGGAGGTGCTGGATGCGGAGAGTCACTTGAAAATGGTAGTGAGATAGACTACGGGGGTTGGCACGAACTACTAAGAGTGATCGTAGCTTTGCTTCGTTCCTTAGTACTTGCACATTCACCGAAGAAATCGGCAAGAATTTCCACTAGGCAAAGTCGAAATTACAGAATAGTTGAACAAGCAATAGCAACAATGACTATATCACGCACCTAGCAACTCTGCAGCTAGCCTGATCGGCCGCCAGCACAGCGTGGTCGACCGCCTGCCAGCATTGCATAGAAGAGCCGCGCTAGCACTTCAGAAAGGCAACCTGTTAACACTGCAGGTCGACGGCGTGCCAACGTTGCAGTAGAGCGGCTGTGCAGCGTTGCCCTGTAGAAGAGAGCAGTCCTCATGCTCGCATATGCGCACAAACGATTGGCCCGACTTGCATTGCTGTGCATCCGTCGGCTGTTGTTTGCGCCTGACGAGCCACATCGACTTCGGATACCATCCCGAATTTTCCTTCGCCATCGCGACCTCGACGACGTTCGCATACATCCGCAAAACTCGTCGAACAGGTTACCCGGTCGACCTGGTCGACCTCCAAGTGCTTCCGGTCGACCACCAGGTGCCTCTGGTCGACCACAGCTCTTATCGAGCTACCCCTGGTTGACAGACCCCTTCCGTCAACCAGATCTGTCAGCGGTTGTCCCCGAGCTCCCCTCGTCGACCGCTGCTCACTTGTCAGGTCGACAACTACTCCGTCGAACTCCCAATCGAATTGCAGGTCCACGGACTGCTCCGTCAACCTACCGGTCAAGCTGCAGGTCGACGGACTGCTCCGTTGACCTCCCGGTCGAGCTGCCCCTCCTGGTCGACAGCCCGCCCATCGCTGAGACTAGTCAATTGCAGCTGTCGAGCTCTCTTGTCAACAAAAACACCACAGCGGTTCCCTATAGCTGGACGAAGCCAGTCAAGCAGCTCTCCCACTGTGAAATGTCAGCTGCTACTCCCGTACATCCGACCAAATCGTTGGCGTTGCCCAAGCGAGGGCGGGGCCAACACTCCATTCCCGTTAACACTGGATGAAATGGAGGACCCCAAGCACAAGGTCAACCCCATGATTCAGCCATGGCGCCCGTGCAACCTACTCTTGGACCTTCTAAGGATGAACCAAGGGTGTTCGGGCTTGACAATTTCAACGGTGACAACTTTGCTGAGTGGCCCTTCAGGATGGAGGACGTATTCAACCACTATGACCTGCTGGAGGTGATGGAGGGAATGGAGAAGCGCCTTGAGAACGACCCGGAGAAGAGCCAGTGGGTGCACAAGAGCGCACAAGGCTATCTCCTACTTGGGCAAGCGTTGCAGAGCAGCAAAATCCGTCGCATCAAGCCATTTTAGCATGAACCAGAGAAGGGACCGAAGGCATGGGCTGCTCTCGAGAGTGTATATGCTGCCGCAACAGCGGCGGTAGCGGTGGTGCTGGAACGGCAAATGGCAAAACTACGAATTGAAGAGATGAACCCGTGGAAGAAGG